GTTCCTCCTCAGTTGGTTCTTCGATGACCACTGCAGGTGGCCTAGGCTTCCTCACACCAACCTTTATTCTGACGGTTCGACCTTCAGGAGCTGGAGTAGGAACAGAAGCGTCCTTTGTTAACTTTCGCCTCTTTAGGGGAGAAGGAGGGGAATCACTCTCGTCATCACTCCCCGATTCGATCACCAATGCTGCCCTTTTCTTGGGCGAAGGGGCCTATAAAACCAATAGGAATTCGATTGAATAATTACGTCGAAAATAAAAAATCGAAAGCCAGAAGAAAAATGAAGAAAATCTGGTTACCGATGCAGGAGGCCTCCTCGAAGAGCCTTCTCCCTGTTGGTTGCCTGTTGTCTTCGCCGGCGCTATAGTCTTCGCCGGCGGTGGAGGTTTTGTCGAAGGGACTCCTCCTTGTGGGCCTCCTGTAGCCTTCTTGGCCAAGGGTTTTCGAACAACTGGAAGCGAAAAGGAAAGTTAACAAGCTAACAGTCGAAGAGAAAGATAAAAAGTAATGTGAGAGTATGAACTTACATTTCTTTACTTTGTCAAACACAAGGACAAAAGACTTCTGCAACTCTGATATGAAGTCCTTCTCGTCGAAGAAGTACTCAGCGTAATAGCTTCTCCACCACTCTTCAAAAGATGGTGAGCAAAGGAAGTTAAGCTGGTAGTTGAACAGCGAGAGGATTGTTCGACCAGCATACCTTCCGATATGCTTGGTAGCAGCTTCTTCTGTATAATCGTTGCAGAAGTACAACATTGACTTCTCTCTTTGGAAAATGGGAGAAGGCAGGGTTTGGATGATACCAAACTGGCGAGACACCAGATTGGGTTGATAGGCAAGCAGACTCAGATGAGTCTTAGAACTCTTAAATCGAAGAGGCATGATCCTGGGTGTCAGGAACGCCTCCCAAAGTATAGTGTGCTCATCGACATTGGGACCACTCGACTCCTTTGGATGTGGCCTCGTAAACCATGCTGGCCCCACCTTCCGTTGAGCAAATGGAGCCATAGTCGAAACAAATTCCTTCCTTCGAGCGAACATCAGCACGAAGTTAGTGAAGGTTTGTTGGAACTCTAGCCCATCTTCTACAGGTGTCAGTAGAGCCAGCCTAATTCCTTCGATACGTCTATTAGCTATCGCTGGGGCTTGTTCATTTATCGGAGTCTTCTTGGGTAAGAAAGATTCGAAAGTGGCGTTAAGCCACAGTTGAAGTAGCCAGAAAGGCCCAGCGAGTAGCAAACTGTTCCTATCTTCGACATGTTTCAGGAGAGTAACCCCATTGCTGATTGAGTCATAAAGACTGGCCAGAATTAGTTCTGCCAAACAGATGTTCTGGCGGTGATGCAATTGGGTGGCCAGAGTGACCATCTTTTTGGTCACTTGCAAAGACTTCGAACAAAACACAAAGCGAGTTAGCCATAAGGCTAGAAACGCTATGTGTTCGACATCCGACACTGTATCCGTCGACCTGTCGTGAAAATGGTTGATAAAGGTGGTGAATGTTGGCTTCGTCTCAGAAAAGCCAATTTGGTCCTCCGACATCTCTTCCGGGTCGAAGTAATCTCCGGTCGGTCGAAGGCCAGTGATGGCTGCTACGTCGAAGAGTGTGGGAGTTAACATCCCACATGGAAGGTGAAAGGTGAAGTGAGAGTTATCCCAGAACAACATCGAAGCTATAAGCATCTCTGGGGAGTAGTTTAAACCTGTCTTCGACAGCATTACTAGGTCAAAGATTCCCATTTCCTTCCAGACTGGAGTTTGATGTTTCTCCAACTTTGCTAGCCAAGCAACATAGTCAGAGGTCAGATTAGGGCAAGACCTAAAAACTCTAACACTTCTGTTGAAGAAACGAAGGTCGATCTTCTCGTGTGTAGGGTCTTCGTTGTCTTCTGCATCCTTCTTAGCGCAGGCTACTGGTTTGAGTTTCTCGACAATGGGGAAGTAGCTCTTGATCTTCAGAGCTTCAGAGATGCTGGGGTTCATGGGTCCAGACATTGCGAAGATTTGGTTGGAGTATCCAACCGGAATCATCAAGTGACGCGAGTAAGCATCGCGAACGGAGATGTCAGATGGTTCAGGGACCCTTCGTTTCCCTGTAGCGTTCACTACCGGAGCAGTAACAAAGACTTTGGGCTTAGCAAGTTGTTCAGTTGGTGCGTTAGTCTTGGGGGCAGTGGAAGCAGAAGCCATTGTTGAGGATGAAGATGAAGTTGGAAAAGGAAGAGTTTTTCTGCAAAGAGAAGCAAGTTTGTAAGAAAGCAAGGGAGTTTGAAGGCTAGTGTGCGTGAAAAGTCCCACAATGGGATATTCACTACTATTTATAGTAGTGGGAGAAGTTCCCAATAACGAGGGCATTAAATGTCATTTAATGCTGCAGGAATTAGTGGGACGCGTGGCAGCATCCTGTTGTTTTGGCCGTTTCTGCAGAAACAGAGAGACGCAGCGTGCGTCCTCGTTTTTTGAATTTGTCATAATGACAAATTATGAAGTGATGTTTGGTTCTGCACGCCGTACTGACAGTGACGTCCTAGGATCAAATCAATGATGGTTTCTTGGGATTGCCAATAGTTGGTAAAAAGCAACAAAAAGTGCACAAGTTAACTTGTGACTAAGCGTGGAAAAAACAGGTGTCGAATGGCGTTTTCAAAGAATGCCTTTTTCTTTCAGAGTCGAAATAAGGCATTCTTGGGGGGCAATTTGTTGGCTCCTAAATTCGACACCTTTGTTTTAATTGATGGCAGCCATGAAAAGCTGAAAGATGCTTTCGACTGGCTAAGCCTGTCGAAGTGCCTGTCGAAAGATGACAAAATACTGAGAAGATTTCTTCCAAGGAAGAAGGCTGATTGCCTTCGACGTCGAAGGAGTTTTCGTCGAAGACGTCTCTTGACGAACGTGTTCGATGGTCCAGAGTGGAGCAGTTTGAAATTCAAAGCTTTGGAGGGAAAACGGTTTCCAGCAGTTACTACGTGCGAACGTGCAAGGATCTGGAGCGTCGAGCATGGAGAACGTGACAAGTGGCTTGATCTCGAAGCAGTGTAACTGCCCGACGGTTACTTGGAATGTTTTTGTATAAATAGGAGTAGGCGTGTAGTTTCTCGCGTGTGTTCACAATAGATACATAGTCACTCATTTAGATTCAAGTACCCAGTGTGAGCGAACGAATTGTTGAGAAATGTATGTGTGAAACACCAATTTTATCAATTCAAGTCATTTACTTTTCCAGTATCTTACATGCTTTTCCCCTTTAAGATTCCTGTCGAACCTTTAAATTCAAGCCTTGTTTATTTTACCAAGCCTTTCCTTTATGCAATTTACTTTAAACAATTTACTTAAAGCCTTATCCACATTAATTAAACTTCAAAATCAACCTATGTCCATAGGATCAATCTGATCGATCCTGCGAGTAACCAAATAAGTAACCATTTGGAGGATCAGCGGTTGTTTACCAAATCCCTAGGTAAACAATATTACTCTAAAAAGACTATAAATTGGGTCTTCCATACCATTTCTTTACCATTCACATACCACAACCAGAAATGACACAAACATATCCACATCTCGCTTTTGTCTACTTCAATGGTCCGCAATCACCACTTCAATTCAGGTTCTCGCAGGACACGCTGTTCGCCGAACTCATTATCATATTGCATTCTCTTTTGCAATATCGGGAGAATTGAAAGATAGTCAAGCTTGAGTATCGCTCACCTTCAATTGACACTGAAGGAAACATAAATTTCACCCCGTTTGAACTCAGGAACAACAACGATTTAGATGTTATATGGGGTACCTTTCAACAATACTCTACTAAGGGTCCAATTGAGATGGATGCAAACCTTTCAACAATACTCTACCCATTTATAGCAATATGTATCTTTAATTTTCTGCGTAACTATTTATATAACTTCTTTGAATTATGTTGAATGAATGTCATGAGTTATGTTGAAAAATGTTCTGTTCAGGAATAAATTTGGATATACATATCTAAAAATTGTATAACAAGTGACTTTAAATATGCATATCTGAAGTAAATTTAATAAATCAGATTAGTGGTTCGTTCGGATATGCACTTTCGAATTCTAAAAGTATTTTAGATTTTTCGCCAAAGATCTAAAAAAAACATATGCTGAATGAGAAAAGAAATTCTCAAATATGTTAATAATGTTACAGGGAGCACAAGAAGTGGATCGTGAGACCAAACCAAAGTTATGATTGATTACCAAATTAGTCATGAAAAAACAGCTTGGCGCATAAAATTAAACCTTATGAACCGGTTCGGACCGAACAAAATCCAATGAACTAGGGTTTTAAAAATTGTCCGGCTAAAAAGAAAATCAAAAATACATTTTTCCTCATTTATTCATTTATTATTTTTTCAAAAAAAAAAATTGCTTGTTTAGAAGAACCCCTAATTGCTCCGTTTCGGTTCTCCCGCCGCCACACCTCTCCAGTCTGTAGCACAGCCGTCAGCCACATCCGGCCAACTCCACAACCCGCAGCCACTTCCTTTCCAGTTCAAAATTCCAGGTCTGTTTTCCCATTCTTCAATCACCGTGATAACTAATCTTTGATTTGTTCAAGTTCTATTTGAGTTTTGATTCCTTTTTAGTTTGTGGATACTGAAGTGTTGAAGCTAGGGTTTCTCATTTGTTTTAAGTTCTCTGATCTATTATATTCTTTTTTATCAGTTTGTTGTAGTCTATGAAGCACGGTCACGACACTGACACGGCGACACTGATAATACTTTGAAAAAATAATAAATTAAACTTAATCATAAATGTGACGCGGACACTGACACTGACACGCCCTTTTTTCAGAGGTTATGTAGTTTAACTTTTTATTGATTTGTGAATGTTGATTTAGAATTGAGTGACCCGATTGTACTCTTGGTTTGGTTTGGATGGATAACTATAATGTGATTATCTTTACATAGTACCGACAGAGTCTAATTTCTGATTTAGGTGTTTTTCCTACCTCATTTGTAGTTGAAGGTTAACTGAGATGGTAAAGGACAAATTAAAGGAACCTGTTCTTACAGCTTTCACAACTAATGGTGACTATGTCGCCATTTTGTCTGGAAATGGGACGGCCAAAGTAAGCACTGCGTTCTTCTCCTCATTGCATTTGATGTTCAGTAGTGATTTTCGTGAGATATTTATGTTAGGATAAGTGTCTTGTCTAATTTTGCTACAATTGTTTCAATCATAATAGCGAACTCTTTGGCATGATTTCGTTTAGATTTTAGTTTATTGGAGCTTCTTAGTTAAAGTAAGTTCATGGTTCTTTACATACAGAAAAGTCAATATAAGCTTAATGGTGTTTATGAAGTTAAATTAGAGAGCTTCTGAAAAAGATGAGATGAATAGCCAATTTCATCTTATACGGTAAATTGCTGTTTAACAAATTTGGGAAGGTTCTTTACTTACTATAAAGTGTATATTTGGTTTAACTTTTAGAAGAGCCAAAAGCAATTCTTGAGATTTAGAATTGATTTTGGAATGATTTTGAGATGTTTGATTCTTCTAAAGTAGAATTGATTATGTCTCTAGAATTGATTCTACTTGAAGCTAGAAATTGTAGCTTTTGAGTTTAAATGTGATTTTTACATTTAAGTTTACTGTTCAACTCAATTTTGCATAAAGTTATCCAAACATAAATCACTTTACATTCAACTCACTTTTAACTAGAATCAATTTTACATAATCAATTAATTTAAAATCATTTTTTTCACCGCAGAACCAAACGTTTAAGAAGTCAATATAAGCTTAGCTCTGTTTATGAAGTTAAATTAGAGAGCTTCTGAAAAATTTGATATGAATAGCCAATTTCATCTTATACAGTAAACTTCTGTTTAACAAATATCGGAAGGTTCCTTACTTTTATTTTTTATTTATGCAAGTGTTTATTGCGAAGTTTGTCCTAAGAGCTTCTTTGAATTTACGATTCTTGCATAACTAAGTCATACCCTGCCAGTTACTTTACAAATCTTATACATATATGCAAACCGATTCAGCTAAAATGATGCCAAATGAAGTTTATAAATTACAGAATGTCAAACAGTGGATTTCTTATCCGACAATCAGTTTGCGTTTCTGTTTTAAATAAGATTTTACCTGGTATTTGAATTCTTACAACTGCACTTCCCATAATTCTTGTAATGTTGATGACAAAATGTCGTTTTATATTTTTCAGATTTGGAATACAAACAGTGGGGATTTGTTAGCAGAGTGGAAGCCATCAGATGGAGATGAAGATATCCGTTACTCTTGTATTGCATGCAGTTTCACTGGGAAAAAGGTAGTATGGACTCTTTGGAGAATATTTTAGTCACTAATGCTGTAAAGGCTTAATTCTTACTTTCTGCATTGTGTTGTGCACTGCATGATATTGTAATTAGCGTAGAAAAGACCAGGGAACTTGCATATTAGCTCTTGGCACAGATGATGGAAAAGTTCTCGCTGTTGATGTTTCCACTGGTGACAAGAAGTGGCCTACTAGTCATCCAATTCCCGGGTATTGTTGTCATTTGAATTTATTTATTTTTAATGATAATTTTCTACGTATTTATCTTGTGAAGTTTCCACTGAACCAAGTAAAACTATCCATTCAAATGAGTGTTTTTCTTTTTTTAATATGAAATTAAAATGATAATTAACTCTAGTATGTAATTTACTGTTTTTACTCGTCCATATCATCATACAGTGGGATTTGCGGTCTTTCATTTGCTAAAAAAGGACAGCTTCTTTGTGTTGTTGGATATGATGGGAAGGCATATGAGATTAATTCTGAAACAGGAGAGCTTCTAAAGGAGTTCAGAGTCTCAAAAAAGTCCATCTCTTCACTGGCTTTTTCACATGGTGTGTACTAAAATCAATTTGGTTCTTGGTCCATCATAAGAATTTATTTTTTTACTCGGTAGTTGACACTTGTCATTTTTCTTTTTGTCCAGATGAAAAATACTTGGCAATTTTCAGCTCTAGACTACGAGTTATAAGCCGGGAAACTGGGAAAGAGGTTTTGAAGTGCCCTAGTGATTTGGTAAACATCAGTACCTATTTTAGATATAAATGTTTATCTTTACAAGCTCAAAGCATCATGTTATTTTACTTCTATGTCTTAACAGGAAAATATAAACCGTGTATCTATATCCAATGATGCAAAATATTTAATTACATCAGATTCTGAGGTTAAACATCTTCAAGTTTGGAGGTGTGACTTAAGTTCAGGAACTGTGAGTACTGGTCCAACACTTTCAGCAAGGCATGCTCCATTGGTTCTTGATTGCCACCTCGGTGGCAATGAAGAAGATGATTTAGTTGTCTCGGCAATTACTTCAGGTGGAACTTACGTATGGAAGAATTTGAATGCTTCTTCCGAAGATCAAGTACACCGAACTAAAATAACTTCAAAAACAGAAAAAGTTGAAAGTGAAAAGGAAAATAGCGAAAGTTCAAAGAAAAAGCGCACTCCTATAATTGCATCCAGATTTCAATCCACGGGGGAAGATGGTCAGATGAAAGCTTTGGTGACTTATGGCTCTGCAGATCATCCAAAATTTACCGTCTTAAATATTAGCGATTTAGAGGAGAATGTGGTATTAAATGTGGGAGATGAGCCTGATTCCATTCAGAAGTATGACAGTCCTTCTAAGAAAGGTCAGATATACTAAATACGTGTTTAGGTGATCTTGATTTTATTTTCAACTATTTTCTTTGAATAAACATGAAATTCCATTTAGAATAAAATGTTACAATTTTCTTAGTTGGGATACACTTATTCCAATGTATGCTCGTTTGTCTTTTACAAGTTCTCTAAACGATTAAACTCTTATTTCCGCTTGTCTGGCTTGGAACTGGAAGCAGCAGTAGAAAAGGAAAGCAAGAAATCTAAGAAAAGACAAGCAACATCTGATCCTGATCTTCCAACCACAACTGACAAGGTGGATTTCGGTAAGAATTGTAGTAATATTTTGAACTCTTAGTTAGCACGAGGAAACCTTATCCATTTTCATGGTTAGGTCATGCCAAGCTTATATCACCTTTTACTATCTCCTTTTTGAGAAGCGTTACTTATTGGTGAAGTATTAATGGGTAATTTTTGTACTGGTTTTTAATGTAGATATACGTGAGGATGCCGAAGGAGTCATTGATGATGATGATCCGAGTGAGCCAACAATGGGAGAGAAACTTGCTAGTCTCAATTTGGTGGATGAAAACAAATCCAATGGTGACAAAGAGCAAGAATCTTTGGTCTCATTGAAGCCTCCAAGTGCAGACAGTGTAGATGTTTTGCTTAAGCAAGCATTAAATGCTGATGATCGTGCCCTTCTACTGGATTGCTTGTATACACAAGATGAGAAGGTTATCTTTTTCTCCTGTGCACTGAATTGTATTTATATTTGAACGGTAAATTGCACACTTTGTAAATAACTTATACAAGATGTATTTCCTTTTGCAGGTTATTTTTAAGTCAGTTGCGCAGTTGAACCCATCCAATGTTCTCAAACTTCTTAATTCTCTTATAACCATTATTGAGTCTAGGTACATACAAGTTGTTTTCTTTCTTTTTGAGACGTGAAATTTCAACTTCAACTGATGAATTATAATTCTTTCTCTCTTTGTAGGGGTGCAATTTTAGCGTGTGCTCTTCCATGGCTGAAGTGTCTACTTCTACAGCATGCAAGTGGAATAATGTCCCAAGAATCTTCATTAAAAGTTTTGAACTCTTTGTTTCAAGTGAGTTTTTCTGCCTGATGAGTCGATTAGCACAGCACTTAATTTATCAATTGCTCTACCTATGTTTTTCAAATAACCAATTATATGCTTTTCATATTTTATAGATAATTATTCTCCAACCAACTAATAATTCTTTCCTTTTCTATCAATTTTGTGTGCAGCTGATTGAGTCTAGAGTCTCCTCTTTTAATTCTGTCTTCCAACTCTCAAGTTTATTAGACGTCCTTTATGCCGGGGTAAGCATCTTTCTGCTGTTTACAAATGGTTAGCATGGAGTTCATGATCAACTTGTGTTTATGATGCATGGTTTTTTTTGAACAGGTTCTTGACGAGGAGGTAGATGAAGTTGAAACAGTGCCGATTATCTACGTGGACACAGACGACAGTGAAGGTGAAGAATCCGAGGATGTCATGGAAACTGACAAAGATAGCAAGGATGGAGGACTATCTGATGAAGCATTTGATGAACTTGGTGACATTGAAGGTAGTGCTGATGGTATGATGGAAGATTAATGATGTCACACGCACACACAATTTTGGTTCTTTTCTAAACTTGTCATAACATTAAGATGATAACACTTTGAGTTGAGTTTGGCAGAGATCGGTCTTTAATGTATTCATTGTAGTATCTTGGGGAACACCATATACATTTGCTTGTTCACAAAGCATCACAGTTTTGGGAAATTGATACTAGTGTACAAACAGTCAATCAAGCATTATAACTTCACAAGTCTCTGGGAAAATAGGGTTATTTATTTGAATATTTGGAGAAGTTGAATGAAAACATGGTGATGAAATTCATTTTTGCTTTTTTTCTTTCTTTTCGCGGACGGTGTATGATATTATGTTTTAAGTTGAAGAGAAAATTTGTCTGGGGAATAAATTTATTCTTGAAATAAAAAGAAAAAAATTAATCAAAATTTTATTGACTCTGTTTTAAGTTGAAGAGAAAATTTGTCTGGGGAATAAATTTATTCTTGAAATAAAACGAAAAAAATTAATCAAAATTTTATTGACTCTACAGATTATGTTCTTGCTTTCTGGCATCCTTAATTGAGAAATTAAAACCACTTTGTTCTGCTAGAAACTTGAGGTGTTTCTTACGGTAAAAAGACTGTTTATGTTTGTTAATTTTAAAATTTTGAAATGCCTAGTCTTGTAGGAAAACCTGCTTGTCCCAAAGGTAAAAATAGAGGGTTGTGTTAGGTCGTTGAGAGTCAAAAAGAGAGGGTTGTGTTAGGTTGTTGAGAGTCGATGAATGAGTGGATAAGAAGTTAGTTCGTGAGAGTATGATTTGTTCAGAACATGAAATATAGAACGTTTCTGAAAAATTTATGAAAATAGCGGACATTATGATTAGGAAAATCAATTTTATGTGCCTACAAGAAATTAAGTGGATGGGTGAAAAGACAAAAGAATTAGACAACTTAAGTTTTGGATGGGTGAAAAGACAAGAATTAGACAACTTAAGTTTTGGATGGGTGAAAAGACAAGAATTAGGCAACTTAAGTTTTAAGCTTTGGTACACCGACAAAGTTAGATTGAGAAATGTGATGGAGATTATTGTAGCCAAAAAGCGGAACAAGGGTATTACAAATGTAAAAAAAGTAGGATATTAGATCGTAACACTGAAACTTGTAGTGGAACCAATCATCTTTAGTGTTGTTATTGTTTATGCACTTCAGGTTGGGTTAGCCTAACACTTAAAAGTAAAATTTTGGGAGGATTTAGAAGGTTTATTTCAGAATATATTCTAAAGAGAAGTTTTTTTAGTAGGGGATTTAAATGAACATGTAGGGAGTATAACAAGAGGTTTTGAGGGCGTGCATCTGGGATATGGTCTCGGGGAGATAAATAAGGAAAGTAAATTCATTATGAAGTTTTCGTCGACTTTTAATCTTATCATAGCTAATATATGCTTTAGGAAAAAAATATGAACATCTTATCACATATAAAAGTGGGGTGGCATGTTGTCAGATAAATTTCTTTCTTATTAAGAAGTCAAATAAAAAGATTTTTTTGGATTGTAAAATTATACTTAGAGATAGCTTGATTATTCAATATAGAGTATTTGGTTATAGATATAAGAATCAAGAGGAGGGCAAAGAGAAGAAGTCACATAGGAGATCCACAAATGAAGTGGTAGCATTTGGAGGGTGTAACATACTGGAGTTTCTAACACAAAATTTTAGAGAGTTTAGACAACCACAAGAAAGTATAAATGGTACGTGAAACAAGATGGTCCAAACGATTAGAGAAGTAGCTAAATTTTTTTTAAGAAAATATTTTTTTTACGTAGGGGTAAAGAATCGTGGTGGTGGAATGAAAGTGTTTATAGTAAATTTAGAATAAAAAATATTTTAAAGAATGATTTAGATGTTGAAATGCTGAAACTTGAAAAAAGTACAAGAAAACTAAGAAAAAGACCTAAACGACGACGAGTGAAGCAAAAATCTGAGCTTTTGAAGGTTTATATCAATCTTTATAATTAAGGAGGGAGGATAATCTATATATAGAATTGTTAAGGGAAGAGAAAGAAAAACAGGAGATTTGGATCAACGTTAAAGATGAAGAAGACAAAGTCTTGGTTCAGAAAACTGATATAAAAGATAGGTGGACGATGTATTTTTATAATTTATTTATGAAGGATATGATATGTCACTGGACTCTAACAAATTCGATATTAGAGAGGAGGATTCAAACTATAACGATTATCGTCAAATTCAAAATAAGAAGTAAAATAAGCGTTGAAAAGGATGAGTAACAATAAGTCGGTTGAACTACACAACACACATATTGGATTGTAGAAAATTCTTGGAGATAAAGGTTTTGAGTGACTCAATAAACTCTTTAACGAAATTATAAGGTCAAAACAAATGTCGCATGAATAGAGAAGATACAATTTATTTCCATTCTATAAGAATAAAAGGGATATACAAAATTGGGTAAATTATAAGGGAATTAAATTTATATGTCATACCATGAAGTTATGAGAAAGAGAGATTGAATAGAAATTAAGAAAAGAGACTCAAGTTACTAAGAATCAATTTGGTATTATGCCTAAGAGGTCGACCATGGAAGTGATCTATCTATAAAAACGTATGATGTAGCAATATCTGATAAACCAACAAGGCTTCCACTTATTTTTCATTGACTTAGAGAAAATGTGTGATAGAGTGCCTAGAGAGATATTGTGGAAATCCCTAGAGAAGAAATGGTTTAATATTGTCTATATTCGAGCTATTCAAAATATAAATGAAGAGTTTTCAACTAGTGTGCAGACTCAGAGTGGAGAGACATACGACTTTTCTATTACAATAAGATTGCACCAAGATTTAATCCTAAGCCTATATCTTTTGGCGAATACTCTTTCCATACTTATGTGCGCATCTCATTCCTTTGGAAATTCAAAAATTCCCTTCATGCGTTCGGAGTTGCAACTCTGGACACAGTCAAATCACATAAAAATGCGTTATTATGAGATTCATCCTATTTTAAATAAAATATGGTTCGAAGATGCATCTCCGTATGTTTATTTGGGTGTATCCACAACTTGTACTGTACGAAATTCCATAACTTAGCAATCATGTTATCCACGAGGGCCAACTAGGGACTTCAATCCTCAAAGAATCCTGAATCTATGCCTCATCTACCCATCTCTACAACATGTCGATAGACCGCCGACACGTTCTCGGTGTGGTCATCCTTAGCCTCAAGTACCTCTTGATTAACTGGCCTAGATGGTCTTCCAGATGTGTCTGGTGTCATGTAGGGTGTGACACCCTATATAACCATGACATGTAGCCGTCTTCATAAGCCTAGTGTACAAGAGTTGGCATCTTGTGATACTTCTTTGGTATCAAGTGACTCTTAAAATCATCCAGTATCGCACCAAGATCTTCGCGGAAGACGCTGAGAGGAGCAGATTCATAGGGAGATCTCAGAATAATCTGCAAGTAGCCAAACTAGAGCATCACTCGTTCGAGAAGATAATGATACATAAGAGATGACCCACATGACAACCATTCGGAGTATACGAAGACATCAAATTGACGCGTCTTGTGGTGACCCTTATATGGGCAGAAGCAAACATCATCTAGTACATGACGATCAAGATACATTTTGAATGGTTCGACCGAACTATTCCCCCTGTACGGAACAAATATGGCAACACGTGGCTAGTCCTCAGTGTAGCTATGTGTAGGTTCCCACCCGGTAATGCAAGGGAAGTGGGTGATGATTCATCCCTGAAAATAGTTCAAATGCAATATTAATAACAAATGTAACAAATGAATTATGAAAATATTATTAACAATAAATTACCGTAAACAGCGCGTAGCTCCCCATCATCTGCTTTGTCTTTCAAAGGCAACCCTCACCCATTTTCGATTATTGGTAGGCCAAACTTGAGGCTCCCCAATTGTACTCGTGAAGCGCAGTTAGGTCGACGAAGTAATTAAGGTAGACCACATCGACATATGATTTACTTTTACCCACAAACATGAGCGTTCAAACCAGGAAAAAAAGGTAACACTTCAATGTATACTGTCAATGGTTATGAGATGTCATCTAATGTGATGATCATTTTGTCTATATGAAGGAGGAAAATAACGTCTTAGAATTTCACTCTCCACAAAAGTTGTCTGCATTCCATGATTGATGGTCACATATGCAGTAGAACATAAACCGACAATACTGAAATATCAGATAACTTGAACGAACCAATCAACAGTGGGTTGTGGTAACTCAAATATCTTCCTATCGTGGTTTATCGATTTCAAACACATACACTATTATAAAAATAAAATATCACCATCAATATCAGTTTAATTAGTTGAAACCATATGTATTGCAAAAGTAAAAAAATTCATCTCTCCTCCAAGACATGCCTACCAGCATGGTCTGCATTGAGATAAAGTAAGAAATTGTCAAATGGGTCTTCTGAGTAACTCTCTAAATAGATATCAACAACGGCTTCCTCCCGAGCTTCAGGGGCTTCAAGGACTTCAGGTTCTGCATCATATGAGAACTTGCAGCCCCATGAATTAGATGCTTAAGATAGGCGGTTACGAGAACTAGATGGATGAGAACCTCTAGGTTGCGAACCATAAAACGAGTTATTGTCAACTAGTGGACTCCTGATCATGGTTACTTCCCTCTTACGTTGTACCGACGCGGTTTGGGACACACAACCGAGCCTATTTCCGCCGGGTTGTTTTACCCATCACACCTGCATTAAAACAGACACAGAAAAATAGCTCAGAGCAAAATTTACAATTTCCACAAAATCAACGAAATTTAAGGCTGAGTCAAATTCGGAGACGCGTCTCTGAAAAAATTTCAGAGGAAATTCAGAGATGTATCTTCAGAAAAACCTACGATTATTTTCCATGTCCGAAACACCATTTCTACCCTAACAATCCAAAAATACCTCAACATATGTTCTTGTAGGATACCAATTTCGTTTAAATTATTGTCTAATGTACATAAAACAACTAATGTAGCCTAAACAACTAACTACAAATCAAAAAATAAAAGAGGTAAAATTTTGAAATACTTACCTAATCAAAATAATGAGAAGTAGCTTTAATGTTTGAGATGCTGGAAAGAAGGAGAAGCTTGAATGTTGCAAAGCTTCAATGGTAGAAGCTTGAACGAATGGATGAGAAAATTGAATGTGTGAGAGCTCAAATGTTTTGAGAAGTTTTTAGAAAATTAAGAAGGAGGAAGACAGAGGGGTCTTCGCGCGAGGATATAAAACAAAAGTGTCCAAAGATGCATCTCTGGACCATCCATTAATTTTTGAATAAATGGTGTTTACGGAGATGAATCTCCGGACGTACCTTTTACGCATACAGAGATGCATCTCCGGATTAATTTTTTGTAGAATAAGGGTGCCTTTTCAATTTGGTATGAGAAATAGCTTAAAAAGGCGCGTCCAGAGATACATCTCCGGACTCTAGGGGCATTCATGACTTTTCATAGTGGTGGGGGAGAACATATAAGGGTGGAAAGAGCAGTCCCGTACCTTTTTATTTAATTTTGGATGTACTTACGTAATACATCTAAGACTGTACTAAAAAAAATACATCAAGAGCTAGTATCGAGATGTATGTCTTTTTTAGACGATATAGTCCTACTTGGAGAGTCGAATGAGGATTTAAATAAGAGATTAAAGACGATCCTTAGAAATGCATGGCTTTCACTAAGCCGAAGTAAGATAGAGTATACATAATGTATTTCGTAAAATGAAAAGTGTTTTTAACCTAGAGGTGAAAGTTGGATGCCATATCATTCCACAAGTCACGCGAAAAATATGCTTAGATGGTTTGGACATAAAAAGAAGACCTGAAAATTCTGTTATAAGAAGAAAAACAGACGGAGAAGAGTCAAATAAATAGAGGTAGAGAAAAACCTAAAATAGTCATTAAAAAAACTATTAAAAAAATCTTGAAATTAATAAATTGCATAGAAATATTGTGTTAGATAGAATAATAAAGAAAAAATTTATCCATATTATCAAGTCCATTTAGTAAAATAAAACTTTGTTGTTGTTGACTAGTTTTAGAGAGGAAATTATTTGAGAAAGAAATGAATATATTTTAACTGAAATACTCCAACTTATTATTGTAAAATAAGTTCACATTGCTCCTCTTCCATCAAATCTATATGCCACTGAAAAGGGTGTATAAACTATATTTTTCTTGTAATTTAGGTATATTCTATAAGCACAAATACATCAAATTTACAAACTTAACTTATTGGGAAGAAACTATAACCTAGAACACTGATAGAGCACTTTGATAGAAACATGATTAACAATTTTTCATAATTTGTTTTCTTATTGAATTAGAGTTAAGAGTCTTCATTGAAATTCTTACCATTTAGAAAAAAAATTATAACTTTATTTAAATTGAAATTTATTAATCACTTAAATTAATAGTTAGGATAATTAAACTATTGATTTGTAGTGATTAATATATTTAAGCTATCACCAAAAGAGTGCTATAGTAGTTGTAAGCATCAAAAACTTTATTCATTGTAAGATATATCAGTAATAGTAGAGTTAATTTATGTGATAGTGTAGTTATGATTTCTTCACTAACCTATCTTTGTGATATGAACCCTCATTTCTTAACTCAATTAATGGTAACTCTTCCTCATTTGAATCATTTTCATCACTCACCTTTGATTCTACATCAGCAGTATCTCCATAAGCCCAACTGCATACTAAATAATACAGTATATTAACACCACTCACCGCGGCAATAACCCAATAGTACTTATCGAATCGACCCTTGTTAATATTATCCGAAATCCAACCATCTTTTCCGCCTTTTGAGGTAATCCTTTCGACAATGCTGAACAAAAATGAAGATAACACGTATCCAACGGCCATTCCTAGTCCGAAAAGAGACGAAGCGATGCTCGACATAGTCTTTGGAAATTCGGTGTAGTAGAACTCATTTTGGCCTATAGCATTGAATGCTTCAGCTATACCACCTAAGCAGAGTTGAGGAAAAAGCCACATAGCAGACATGTTCAACACCGCGTTAGGATTATTACTGTAACCTTCTCCGATTGCTCTTCTTCGCCTTATAGTCTCGACTATTGCCGCTGTCACCAAGTGTAGAAAAGAGAAAAACAATCCAAGTCCCATTCTATTCTTGGCACTAATCCTAACTTGTTTGCCAAGTAACTTCGAGGCTAGTGGAATAAAGACGCGATCATAAAGAGCTATCCATATAAATATCGTGAATATCAGGATTACAGTTAGAGAACCGGCCGGAACTTCAAAGCTTCGAGTGATGTGTCTGTTCAGCGATTTCGCTTGCAACAACCCAAACGAGCCTCCAATGTTAAGCGACATCATGATACTCGTAGACCACAAAGGAATAACTTTGATAATAGCTTTGAATTCTTCTACTTGATCAATTGTGCATAAACTCCAAGGATCCGAGGCTATATCTTTTTCTGGACTTCGAACGAAACAAGCTTTATTCAGAAACCTATAAAACAAAGCGTTACCACAAAGTTCGATATATTGATTCATCCATTCAACAAACAAAAATAATATAATGTGAATATGTGAGTGATTCGATTCAACCTTAGTTTATCAGTTGGAACGATAAGTTCAGAATCTTTCAATCGATGATACATTCCGTCCGAGTTCTTAGGAGGTAGTCGAAGCTTCCTGTTCTTATAAGCCGCAACGATCACTTGTAAAAAGCCAGTGAACAAGCTGCTATTTGTTTTGTTCTTTACGTAAAGCGGAGAAGCCAGAAAAAAGAAGAAAGTGGAAAAGAACATAAGTGCTGCTGGAATTCCGAAACCGAGTTTCCATCCGAGATGATCTTGGATATAAACTATTCCTGTGAAAGCAATTATGACAGAAATAGCTGAGGTAGCATAATACCAGCTGAAGAATATTTCCAAGGCTCTCTGGTTATTGGGATTGTCTTTTCTATTCACCTGGTCCGCGCCGAATGCTATGGAGCATTGAAGGCCACCGTTTCCAATGGACATAAGAGCAAGGGAAGAAATTAGCATCGTCATTTGTGCGGTTGTTGCAGATATACATCTTTCAGATGATGGATTGCAAGGAGGAGGCCTTGCTTGAGGGATCATGGCTGTTAGCCATAAGAGTACCATTCCCTGTCACCAAAAGGTGGAAAATTGAGTTGTTTTTCGAAACATTTGGTGCACAAATATGCTATATAACACCGACACTTCAGATTGAAGATGTTTTCTTCCCTAACACGACCACGGACATATGTAGCTACACTAAATCAGTTTCATTTTCTAGTGTTCATGTCTGTTTCAATGTTTCTTAGCAAATAAGTCAAAATTCACATCCTATTCATCTCCTCCATAATTATGATGGAAACTGTTATGGGCCGTTCACAAGCCTAAAACGAAAGGTCCAAGAGTAACATCAAGCGAAAGAGCACAGAGAGTAGGTGGTCCCTCATTCCATCAAGAATAGAGGATTCCACACTCTAGACGTGTCAATCACCATCTGATTAGATTCAATGGCTACCCTCACGTCACGACGCGCCTCCTCTTATGCGGATGGTTTTAACCGTCCACACTATTTAAGGAAGAAAGCGTGCAATTTCTAATATTCAAATTCATTCTCACTCTCACATCACTTCTGATTCTCTCATTGACTTTGGCGTTGCAGTGTTACACTAACAGACAAATCAACCCTCTCTCCACTGCATTGGAAGTACAAATCCACCGCAACAAAACATTACCTCATCATTTGGCTGATCATTTCTAATTCTAAACCGAACAAAAACAAAATAAGAAGGTCTAGTTACCATAAAAGTGATGATGGAACCTAAACCAACAGCAAGGAAGCGACCAAGATGAGAATCAGCAACAAAAGCACCAATAAGAGGCATGAAATTGGTGGTAGCAACAGATAAGAGGAGTATATGAGTAGCTTTAGACAAATGCAGATTATAACTTGCCATCAAATAAAGTATCATATTTGGCAACAATCCTAATGTTGCAACTCTAGCAAGTGATTCATTTGCTGCAATCAATTCATACATTAAAAACATCAAACAACAGTTATGTGAAAAATAAGAAAATGAAAAAACATACCTATGATGAAAGGCATGGTAATGAAACCACCCTTGTTGTGTATTTGAGGTTGTGAAATGATGTCTTTTTGGAAACTTATTTTGGTACGAGGAAGTGAAGAAAGCTCTATTTCATGCTTATGATCCATCTATGAGATTCTTTGTAATTGTATTGAAATTGCTTTGAGTGAAGAAAGAAGAAAGATGATTTAGTTAAGTTGAAAAGAAAGTTGACGTTTGATGTTTCATCTATGCAGAAAACATGGATGGAGGAGTCATTAGATTTTGCGATCTCGTTTCTTAAAACGGTCAACAGACCATTCTTGTCTCACCGTTCTGACCAACTTTTTTCCCTCTCGTGCTCCACGTGTGTACATGATTTTATTCTTAATTTAAAAAAATAAATAATATGGAAGATGGTTTTGGTTGTGTCATAGAGGTAAAATTATATTTTGAGTCTCTTAGATTTTGTTTATGATATGTTCTTATATTGTTTAAAAAAGTGGAAGTTAAATATTTTATAAGTGATTGGACTCATATACTTATCACTTTAAAATTTTGAATGAATATGTAGTTTTTCTTTCACTTGTATATTGTTTTTGATTCAATGTAAATGCTCCAACAACTATTTTATTAAGCTTAAAACATAAACTAATAATAAGAAAGTATTTATAACATTTCTCTTCAATTAATTAGATATATTGTTTATAACATTTATCATAAATATCAATTATTTCAAATTTGCAAGGTTGAATTGTTTGGCTATTAAATCGTTAGTTAACACATTTGTTAGCTGATAACTAGAAGGTGATAAGTAATGTAGGTTTTAGATATTAATCCCCTATCATGTTTTCTTTAATGAAATGATGTCAATTTTAAGGAGATTTTATCAATTATGTAGAACAAAATTATGTGCAATACTAATTTGTTGTCACAAAAAACTTTTCAGTACATTCATATTGTATATTTAAATTTTCTAGCGTCTCAATAGTTCACAAATTCCTAATATTATATTTCTAAATTTTGCTTCAACACTTGATTGAGTCGTTACACTTTATTTTTTCTTTCCTAAATAATAAGATTTTCACATAAGAATGTACAGAAATTAAAAGTAAATCTTTGATCACTTACCTGCATAATTAATATAGGTGTATGTCTCCATAGTTAAATTTCCACTTCTTTTGAATAAGAGATTTCCTTCTAAAATGACTGAAATATTATAGAATTCGGTCAACAACCTACAACTGACTTATGCATGAATTGACTCATCATACTTAACATATAAATCAAATATGGTGTAGTGTGTATCAAGCAAGTCAACTTTCTCACTAATCTCTTATATTATGTCTTGTTAACTTTAAAGTTTTCCTCTTCATAACTCATCTTGTGATTTTATTCAATAAGAATCCCTGTCTTTTTGTTTCATGCAAATATCAATTACCAAAAACAAATATTGAGTTAATTAAGGTCCTTCATGGTTAGATTTTTCATTGAACAATTGTTTTTTAGTCTAATCATTTTCTATAATAATAATAATAATAATAATAATAATAATAATAATAATAATAATAATAATAATAATAATAATAATAATAATAATAATAATAATAATAATAATAATAATATAAACAATAATAATAATAATAAAAAAAATATATAAAAAAAAAAAAATAATAATAATAATAAAAATAACAATAATAATAATAATAATAATAATAATAATAACAATAATAATAATAATAATACTAATAATAATAATAATAATAATACTAATACTAATAATAATAATGATAATAATAATGATAATAATAATAGTAATAATAATAATACTGATAATAATAATGATAATAATAATAGTAATAATAATAATAATAATAATAATAATAATAATAATAATAATAATAATAATAATAATAATAATAATAATAATAATAATAATAATAATAATGATAATAATGATAATAATGATAATGATAATAATAATAATAATAATAATAATAATAATAATAATAATAATAATAATAATAATAATAATAATAATAATAATAATAATAATAATAATGATGATAATAATAATAATAATAAAAATAATAATAATAATAATAATAATAATAATAATAATAATAATAATAATAATAAAAAAGAAAGGATTTTGACGGTGGTCCACACATAGCTCTACGATTTTCGGTACTGGCGGCGGCGTTTTCCAATTCTCTTGGCGTGCAGTCTTGGTGGTCTTCAAGCTGTAATCCTCTTGCTCAATGGCTTAAATTCCTAATCTTCAGATTAGGGGCTTTTGGGTGTGTAGGGTTTTAGCTTTTTGTAGTGTGGTTCTCTACTGAGTTTTTCAGGATGATTCGTTTGCGTGGGAGGCCTAAATCCAAGGTTCCATCGCCGATGGCACAACCCCATGTTGCTGAGGTTAGTACTAGTGGAATGGGTAAGCATTCTGGTGATCTGGAAGTTAATATGAAGAAAGTAGTGACTGAGGCAGAAATCCCTCAATCTCTTGGGGAGAAAGAAGTTGAAGAAAACACTGTGCGGGAGGAGGAGGTTCCAGAGAAAAAGCTTTGGGTTGATGTCGTTAGTGGAAACCGTATCCCAGCTAATGGTTTGGCGCTAAGCTATGTTGCTCCCAACATTGTGAATGGAGAAATGGAGGTAAACATTGAACCAGAGGACATTGTTGATGAAATTAGATATTGGGATAACACGCTGATTATGTACGTGCTTGGCAAAGACCTCAGTATGAATGCTGTCAAGCAATTCATGACTAGGTTTTGGAATTTTACCCAATTACCATAATTTATTATCACGATGAGGGGTATTTCCTCCTAAAGTTTGGTAAGTCTAAAGACAAGGAGCTGGTTTTGATGAGGGGTTCGTATTCTATTCATAACATGCCCATGGTGTTACAGGAATGGAGCCCAAAATTCAACTTCAAGAAAGATATGATAAGAAATATGCCGGTGTGGGTTACTCTGCCTAATTTTCCTCTGTACCTTTGGGGGCCTGAAAGCCTTGGGAAAATTGGTAGCGCAATTGGTAAGCCACTTTTCTCTGATGAATGTACAGCAAACAAGCTTCGCGTTTCTTATGCTCGCATCCTTGTTGAAATTGACATTACTCAACAACAGAAGGAATCTATTATAATCAGAGACAATGTGGGTGAAAAATTGATTCAACCTATAGAATTTGAATGGAAGCCACATTTCTCTGATGTTTGCTAGAAAATAGGGCATGACTGCAAGACTGGGAGGAAAAAGATAATGAAAGAATGGAAACCTATACCTAAGCTAGCTGAGGAGCAGCCTAAGGAAGTTAGCACCCCCACCAACCCCCCATGACCTGGTTTCTCCAACTTGGACTCATGTCACTATAAAATTGAAGGGTAAGGTTATTTTTCAGGACAATGCTAAAACTAGTGAGAACAATCTGCACTGCAAGAATGGCTTTGATCCTCTCAGGGCTTTAAATGGATCCTTTGAGGTGACAGGAGTGGGAACATGATCATTAGCTGGAATGTAAGAGGGTTGAATAATGCAAGCAAGTGTAATGAGATTGCAACCCGTCTCATCAAACTGGATCCTGACCTTGTTATTCTTAATAAAGCAGATAAAACTAGGGCGAAGTTTGGTCTTAGATGGGCATACATTGACAACTATTCCAATCATGGGAATGGTCGTATTTGGATTTTGTGGAATAAGAATATAATAAAGGTCATCAAAGATTGGTGCACTGATCAGTTTATCCATTGTAGAGTTCTCTCTTTGAAGGGGGGGCATATGATGTTTTTTTACTACAGTCTATGCTCATAACCTCTTGGCACAAAGGAAGGGTTTATGGGACCATATTAGTGCCATTCACTCCACTCTATCTAGCCCTTGGATGGTGATTGAAGATTTTAATAATGTCATTTCAGCTTTGGACAGAATGGGGGAAAACCAGTCCGTGAAAAAGAGTATGAGGATTTGGTGTGTATGATGGAGAACACTGGCTTATATGAGAATGAAAGCTATGGAGATCACTTTACTTGGTCAACAATCACTCTAGTGGGAAAATTTATTCAAGAATAGACAGGGTCATTGGGAATTTGGAATGGCAGCAGAAGTTTGTTCACTCCAAATTACTCATCATGGAGGCTAGAGTATTGGACCATGCCCTGTTGTGCATTCAAGAGCAGCAACATAACAGTAATTTTAAGTACCACTTTAAATTCCCTAATTCTATTGTGGATACTCTTGCCTACTTAAAGGTAGTTGAGGATAGATGGGACTCTCCTATTGATGGGTGTTCTATGTGTATTGTTTGGAAAAAATTAAAAAGGCTGAAGCCAATGATAAAAGAGAAAATCAGGTGTTTTTCTAGTTTGAGAAAACAAATTGATAACCTCAGAGAGGAGCTGAGTCATGCTCAGCTGGACCTGGTGTCTGACAGAATGAATATCTCAAAAATTGAGAGAGCCAAGTTCCTCTCTACTGAGCTTATAAAGTAGAGCAACATTGAAGAAGATCTCCTCAGACAAAAAGCCAAAATCCTTTGGATGCGTTCTGGTGACAGTAACAACGCTTTTTTCTTTGCTTCTCTCAAAAGCAAACAGAGTCAGAAGCTAATGCACAAGCTAACCATTCAGAGCTATGTAATTCCTAGCGAGAAGCATGATATTGAGAAGGAAATTCTTAATTTTTATGGGAATCTTGTTGGGACAGCTGTGGATAGAATCAAAAAAATCGACATTGAGGTTATGCGAAATGGTCCTCAATTAAACCTGAATCATTGTGATCAGCTCACTGCCACTGTTACAGAAAATGAGGTTTTATAGGCTCTTAAAGGTATCCATGACATTATAGCTCCACGCTGTTGTACCCCAAAATTTGCCCTCTCATTTTACTCAAAACATACTCTTAGAGATCCTCAATTTGCTCAAGGTTGCCCAAGAGTTGACCAGACAAACTCTCTCCTAAGGCAATGTATCTTAAACTAGGGTTTCCATTTTCATCAATATGGATGAACTCAAAAGACCTCATATGCTCTCCATGGTCCTAATATGTTTTCAAGACCCTCCATGTCAAATTTCAAGCCTTGCATAAGAAGTTTACTCAGTCAACTGCTCAGATACTTGAGAATCGACTGTATTAGGTCAAAAGTC